CAGCCCCCGCTTGCGCACACGTAGTGGAGGGAGATGGAGCTTCAGCATAGAAGTTCCTCCCACTTGAGTTCTTTTTCCCAAAGCGCAGGAGGGAGCCAGCATTCGAGATTTTCATTTGCTGTGGCTTCCATCCATCTTTCTCACAAGCAGCAATGGGTCAGGTGATTGGGTCATTTATTGTGCAGGTCCAGATGAGTGTGAGTAGAGAGGCGCTGTTCATCACACTAGGCGGCAGGTGGAATCATGCCCAGCTGGGGCATAGCCTGTGTCTGCCCACCTGAAGGTGCTGGCAGAGGCATCCACTGGGATGAGGCCCGCCAGGTGGGGATGGTCCAGGCTGTCCTGCCCTACAGAAGTGAAAGCGAGGGCTGGCCTCAGAGCTCAGGATAGGGTCAGAGTGGGTGTTCCTTTGTGTAAACGAAGATGTCTCAGATTTCTCTGTGCCTCTTAAGTGATGGGTCTCCCCTCTCCCCATCCCAGAAAATTAAGGCAGAGTGATGCATGAATTTTTAAATTTATTTAATATATTATTTTTATTGGAAAGGCAGATTTATACAAAGGAGAAACAGAGAGGGAAAAAAATCATTCATCTGCTGATTGACTCTCCAAATAGCCACAATGACCAGAGCTGAGCTGAGCTGAGCTGAGCCAAAGCCAGGAGCCAAGAGCCTCTTCTGGGTCTCCCAAGTAAATATAGGGTCCCATGGATGTGAGGCATCCTTCGCTGCTCTCCCAGGGCTAGGCAGGGAGCTGGATGCGAGGTGGAGCAGCCAGAACACAAACTGGTACCTATATGGGATCCCAACACTTGCAAGGAAACGATTAGCCAATTGAATCATGCTGGCCTGGGAGGCTGCTTAGCCCATACCTCCCCTGCCAGTGCTGACACACACCACCTGTCTTGTGCCTCCCAGGACAAACCCACGGCTGTGTTTAGGGCAGCAGCCTCCCAGGCTGGAGGGGCCTGAAGTCTTCAGAACTTTCCTCCTGTATCCCACACAAGAGCCACACAACTCTTGAACACAAAACATTCGCAATCCTGGCTGAACTTCCCTAGCAAAGTATTTCTCTCGGCCTCACAGACCCCAGGCCCTGTGATAGACAAGGACCACTTCCTATCAGGCCCTTCCTCTTAAAGGTGCCAACACAATGACAATACAGCCCCACACAGGGACCCTCGGGAAGCCTTATCTAAGCCTCTGCAGTTCTGTGCCCACAGTCTTGTCTAGCCCTCACAGGCATGCACAAAACAGATACTGAGCACAGGGTCTCACTGTTGAACTTGCTGCTTCCCTGGAGTGAATGCAGGGGCAAATTCTTGGGCCCATCGTGTCTGTATGCTGTTGTCAAGATTTTGAGTTTCTGGAAACAGGGACTTGTTTTACCTCTGTGGTCTCACACCTGGTCCACAAAGGTGTTGTATGTGTGGGGAGTGACTGGCAGGCAGGTGTGTGTGTGTTTAAGTCTCTTCCCATGTTCCTGGGAGTCTGGGTTCACACATGTGGGTGACCCAGGCCTCCGTCTGCAGCCCCAGAAGTTCTGGACTCCACATCAGAAAGCCAAGTGTCTATGTCTATTGGGAGCCACTCTGGGTATCAGAGCTAAACTTTAGGCCCAATCTCCCTGCTGCTGCTTAGCCAAGGGGGCCAGGGTTCTTGAGGCTCCAGGCCCAAGCACCTCCACCAGCGACCCTCCCAGCAGGAGCCCCTGGGAAGGATGCTCCATCATCCTTTTTTAGCCTGTGGATGCACCTGTCACTCTCTCCTGCTTTGTTATCATGGGGCTCGACTCCCACAGCTGGCACTACTAGGCTGCCAGGGTCTCTCACTAGGAGCGTAGGAGAAAATGAGGACCAGGAGGCAGGTGTGAGGAGTAACTAGGCTTAGGCCCTGTCCAGTGTTATGAAGCAGACACTGAAGGATTAAACAGAACCACCTAGGGCCTGCATAGTCTGCATACTGCAGGCCACTAATGAGGTCCCTTTCCAAGAACATGACAGCACCAGGGGCAGCCAGCAGCACACAGAAATCACTAATGAGGGCCGCCAGGGCTGCCCAGAGCAGGTGGCTAATGATGCTAAAGAGTGGGTGTCATGACTCCTCTGGCATTGCAAGGGCAGAGCTCCACAGGGCCATGGCCAAGGGCCCAGGTAATGAGGAGTCTCTTCATGCTGGGGTGCCAGCAGGTTCAGGCAGTGCAGAGCCTCCAGGGAGCACAGGACAGGGGGAACTTTGAGCCAGTGCTGTGCCTGGGACCCGACCTGGAGTCACCACAGTCTCTCCTCTGCTGAAAGCTGCTGTGTCTCTCCTGGCCTTTTGGGATAAAGTCACAGGCAACTCCTGGCTCTACAGGGGCACCCGGGGTACGATGGCTTGTGGCTTAAGACTCCACCTCTGGGTGCTCAGGAACATTTTCCAGGATGTGCGTGAGTTCCGTTTCCTCGGAGCATTCCCCAACTGCCTCTTCCCCTCCACCAGAGAAGTTAAGCTGGCACCCTGCCTGTATCACACTGGTGACTGGCCAGGATTCAGCATGCACAGCCCATGGCCACAGGGGCCAGATGGTCGGGTACCAGGCCTGAATGAGCTACTGTGAGTCTCAGGCTTGCACGTCCCTTTTCCCAGCCACATGGAGAGGACTTCATCACGTGAGCAGCTGATGATTTTTGGCATCGGCTGCTGGCTGCAGTTTGGAGTATGGCTCTTGGGAGTGTGGAGAGTTCAATGACAGTGCTATGGCACCTAGTTGCTTGCTGGAAAGGTTCCCAGCACATAGCTTCAAAAAATACAAAAAAAAAAAAAAAAATCATGCCCAGTCCTCCTTCATTCAGACAGTATCAGACAGTAAAGGTTTCCATTGATTTATTGTGTGGCTCTCCATTACAAGAAGATGTATTTTCAGGGATGAACCTTAAGCCTGCTGGTTAAGATGCTCCCATTACATGCAGGTGCAAATGGGCTTGTGTCCTGACTAATGCAGACCCTGGCAGGCAGCAGTGAGTGAGGAGGGCTCGTGTTTCTGCTGCCCACATGGAAGGACTGGACTCAGCTCCAGGCTCCCAGCTTTGACCTGGATCAGCCCAGGCCATCATGGGTATTGGAGGAGTAAACAAATAAATAGATAAAAATTTAAGATGAGTTTTCAACTAATTTTCCTTTGTAGGTTGAATACTAACTGATAAACGCTTATAGTATCCAATCGGTTGTTTGTATTTTCTATCAAAAGATAGTTGTAGAGGTTACCTGTGGTGACATAGCAGGTAAAGCCGTGACCTTTGATGCCAGCATCTCCTATCAGAACACTGGTTCTTGTCCTGGCTGCTCTGTTTCCACTAATGCTCCTGAGAAAGCAGCAGAAGATGGCCCGAGTGTTTGGGCTTTTGCTACTCCCATGGGACACCTGGCTGAAGCTCCTGTCTTCAGCCTGGCCCTGCCTTGGCTGATGCAGCCAGCGGGGAGTGAACAGGCACATGGAAAATCTCTCTCCCTCTCTGACAGTCTGTCCCCTCTTTCTGCAACTGTGGCTTTCAAATAAACAAATAAATCTTTAATGAGAATAAAAAATGTCATAATAATGTTTTTTAAACCCTTAGAACTTTCTGTCCCAGAAAATCTTAATTTCAACTCGTAATAAATCTACTTTGCAGCAGAGAAGCAAGCAATAAGCACCCTGACCTCCTCCCAAATTGCCTCAGTAGAAATTCTAGCAAACAGAATGAAGACACAAGTTCAAGAGAGAGGAAGCAGTGTCAAGTTTCCAGCTGCTGAAGATGAGCTGGTCCCCGAATTTCTAAAACATGAGGTTAAATGTTATAAATCAGTGAAGTGTTTAGATTCCAAATGATGTCTTCCAAAATGCATCAGTTTTATTTTCAAATGTAAATATTGACCAAATGCCTTGGTGCGTTTTAAAGTGTGTAAAAAATATGTCAACTTACAAATGGCTAAGATGGGATACAGACTTTTTCACATTTATTTCTGTTGACGGTGGGGAGGTGGGGGGATACCTAGAATAAAAATGCTTTGGGAGCCAATAACCCAAGGGCTGCTGAGTCTTCCAGCACCCAGCCGGCATCCTTGGGGGTTGATGTGGAGGCCACGCCCGGGGACTGCCCCACTGCTTGTTGCTCTTGGGAACCAAAGGGCAGTGCCTATCCAAACTCCAGAGCCTCAATCACACCATTTTCCATGCTGAATCAACTGCCCTTGGCTGGGGCACGGGGAGAGTGAGGGATAGACCTGTGGGCTCTTGACCATGGAGACCCCAGACCTACTCCAGGTTGGAAGGCAGGTGCAGGATGCGTATCTGCCACTGAGGCTAATGGGGACATGACCTACAGGCCCACTCCTCCAGAGCCTGGTCAAGCAGCCTGAGGAGGGCTGCTGTGGTTGAGCGGCTGGGGAATGGGTTCTGATCCCCATAGGCACTCCTGTTATTCCCACTGGCCCTGACTCCGGGGATTCTGCTGTAGTTCGTCCTAAGCAAGGTGGCTGTGCCTGCTCCTCCCACACCCCCCAGGAGAGAAAACTGGGCCTGAAAGCCTGTACTCTTCCCAGAGGCCTGAGAGCAGGTGGCTGGCTGGGGAGGAGATGGGCTCCAAGAAGCTCCTCTTGGCGACAGCTCCTGGGAGGAACTAGGCCTTGCTTCCACCACCTGCACAGCATGCCCTGAGCATGGAGGTGGAAGCCAGACACCCTGGCAAACTCTCACTCCTCTGCTGGCACATCCCCTCCCCCCACTGCCAACCTCAGTTTTCCCACCTGTGAATGGAGCTACAGTGAGTGCCCAGGGAGAGGCTGGGGTAGGCAGACACCTAAATAGCTCCTGTCAAGATTCCAGGAAGCCCTTCTGTTCCCAGCTCCCCTAGTTTCCCCTAGAGTTCCCATTCTGTGGCTGCTCCACCAGCTCCTTTCTGCCATGCCGTGGCACTGGGATCTCCCTTGCCTGCTGCCCCGGCAGGACCCATGCAGCAAGCAGGGCCCAGAGAGGGACTGGGAGAGGCAGGTGGGCTCCTGGGGGTCACACTGCCGCTGTGTGCTTGATGCTGTGGAAACTAATCCGCGTGGGAGATGTGGGGATGGACATGGCTCGGGCCACGGGCACACGTAGGGTGTGGTGGTCTTGCCAGCGATGCCACCTCTTCCTCAGGGTCGAACGTACCTGTGGGATGGGAGGTGCTCAGGGGCCTGCCAGGGCCAGGCCTGGGTCTCTGGAACATCACCTCCCCTGCTGTCTGCTCCCCAACCCAGGGCTGCCCAGAGTAGGATCCTTCCTGTCTCAGTTCTTCCCCAGACCCTTGCTGCCTGCTCTCTGAACCCCTCTCCTGGAGGAACCTGGCCCCCCGACTCTGCCCCATGCACTCCTCTGCACACATGGCTGCCCCTTCCCACAGAGCTCTATCCCTGGAATTCAGCTTTGCAGGCCCAGGTCCTTCTGGCCAACCCTGCAAACTGACAAGTGCTGTGGCTTCCAGACCAGCTGCTGTCAGTGCCTTTGTTCTCGCTTGTATTATAACCATAATACAATCGCTTGTAAAACACCACCTTGTCTCTCCATTGCCATCAGCCTGCGGCCCAGATGGAATCGATGCTCCGTGACATTGGCCATCTGGCTGCATTTCTGTCTCCTCCTCCCTCTGCAGCCTCTGCTAGACTTGGCACCTGGCAGGAGCCTTAAGGCACAGGGGTTCTGCTGTCCCTGTACAGGGTGGCTGCGGGAGGATGCTGTGTCCCTCTGGAGCATTTGGGAGCTCGCAGGCCCTGGGGCCATATCTGCTCCTGCTGAGGTTCCCAAGCGTGTGGCCTCATATTCCCACACTGGCCCTCCTATGCCCTTCTCTCCAGCCCAGCTGCATGGGGACACTGTGTCCCCTTAGTGGGCCTAGTTTGGCCATCTGCTCCCCACAGCCCTTCTAGGGTTATGGTTGGTGGGAGGAGTGGGGCCTGAGTCCATGAAGTCCTACCTGGTTCACCTCTTTCTAGAAGTTCCTCCCATTTCTGGCTTTCCCAGAGGTTCTGCAGCCGGGACACCCTGCTCTCCAGCTCCCTGGCTTCTGGTTTCTATACTGGCTGTAGTTCCTGATCCCTCCAGGCCTCACTATCTATCCTCTAGGGCAGAATGTCATCTGAAAGGCTGTGGACAGATGGACCTGTGCCCAAGAACCCAGGCCATCCTAAGGCTACCCTCTTACCTCTCCATTGAAGAAGCAGTAGAAGACGGACACAAAGAAACCCTGGAAATCAAAGAGGCAGCAGTCAGCCCCCTGGGGAGGAAGGGGTTGCAGGCACACAGGGGTTTGCCCTGGGAGTGGTGGTGGGGTAGTCTCAGGCCTCTGCAGAGCAGGTGGAGACCCCTGAGCTCTGGGGGAGGGGGCAGGGCTTAGAGCAGGGAGGCGCATGCCTGGGGCCAGAGTCTGAGAGTGGCACCTGCACCTGCTTTGTCTCTGTCCCTGTGTATTCAATCCCACTGTGCCAGTGCTGGTGCTGGTGCAGGGCTCCACAAGGGCACCCCCTCCAGCTCTGCACCTTACCTGGAAAGACTGCAGGAAGGAGTTGAAGTAGATGAACACAATCTGTGACAGGTCATCCTCTCCAGGGTTGACGAAGAAGAGCATGTAGGTGATGCCCAGCAGGGGCAGCAGGACCAGGGTGGCCTTCACCGCCTTCCTAGGGGACGGCAGGGCAGGGATGTGAGGCTGAGGCCAGCTGGCAGGCAGGGAGGAAGCCTCTCTGCCCACTATAGGGAGGGCTTGGCTTGGAGGCAACCAGCCCCTGACTTGGCTGAGGTTCACCCACCTGTACTGGATTGTCTCAGAGGTAGTGGACGCCCGCAGCTTTGTCATGAGGATCCTGACGATGTTGAACAGAAACACAAAGTTTATCTGGAAAGAAGGAGGCAGAGAAGGAGACAGGAAAGAAGGGCCTTGGCCTGGGAATAAGCAAGGAGGCAGCCCCCTGACCAGGAGCACCCTGCAGACCCACACCCTGGGGGCACGTGCTGGGACTCATGTCTTCACCTCCAGCTATGAGGGAGGGATGGCAGCGAAGACCTTTACCTGGGGCACAGTTCCTGAAAGACCTCCAGCCTGACCCCACTCAAACCCTCAAGGTTCTGCCCCAGTCCCTGCCCATCTCTGCAGCAGGGTCCCTGTATGGGTGAGCCCCATGTCCTGCTGCCCCTGGTTTGGGGGGCATGCAGGGTAGGATGTGTGAAGTAAATACAGTCATTGCCCACCACCTGACCCCTGTGCCAGGAATACCAGAGACTTGGCAGACACCCTCAAGGCAGGGAAGATGAATGGGATGCTGGTCAGAGCTGGGGCACCTGAAAGGAACTCGTTCATCTTCATCCTGAGCCTCCCTCCACTGCAGAGTCACTCTGTGAGCAGCTCTGGCCCCAGAACCTGCCGCTCACCAGGGCTCAAGTCACCTTCCTGCTGCACAGGTCTCAGGATCTGCACAGTGTATGGTTGCTCTTAGGGATGGAGCCTGTCCGAGTTCCCTGCACCTGCATACACACAGGCAGGAGCAGGCGTGTGGGCAGGAAGGGCTCTAGAAAGTGCTCAGGGTCTAGGGGAGACGCTAGGGTGCATGTGGGCTCCTGTACGCACATACACACTCACACAAGCACACACACTTACACATGCTCACAGACTCATGCATGCAAACACATATGTCAAGTCTGTCTAGAAATCTACTGCATGGACTGGGCCCCTTGAACTCTCTAAATTCTAGATCCCAGGCAGATAGCATGGGGCTGCCAACACTGTCATCTTTGGGTACACCCACATTTGAGGGGGTGGCTCTGGGGCCAGAGGCTCAGCCTGTTACTTTCACACATCTGTGTATAGCACAGTATTGCCTCCATGGCCTGCCACTCCTGTTTTCTCTGAAGACTTACCTAATATTTAGCTCCTTGGTTTCTGGAATCTTCTCTTGCATGGTGGGGCATACATCACCTTAACACATTGATCAATCCTAATTTGTTCAGGCAAATAATGCAAAGCACTTGACCTTCTCTGGTTCTTCCTGATGTCTCTAAAGTGGAGACTGTTGGAATCAAAATGTTTCCTCTTTTCTGCCACATTCCTTTGTATTAGGCATTATTCACACAGCACCCATCAATACATGGACCAGTTTATTTAATTACTCACTCAGTCTTCCATCTGTTCTTCCTCCTTCCCTTCTTTCCTTTTTTCCTTCCTTCCTTCCTTCCTTCCTTCCTTCCTTCCTTCCTTCCTTCCTTCCTTCCTTCCTTCCTTCCTTCCTTCCTTTCACCAGCCAATTCACTCAATTGTTTACCCACTCTTTTATCTATCATCTATCTACCCATTTACCCATTCATCCATCCATTCATTCATCCACCCATCCATCCATCCATCATCCACCCACCTATCTACCCATTCACCCATCCATCCACACATCTGTCCATCCATCCATCCAGCCAGCCAGCCAGCCAGCCAGCCAGCCAGCCAGCCAGCCAGCAATTACTGAGCACCTCTTGGTTAGCAGGCGCCTTTCCCAGTATTGAAACAAGAGTAGGTGCAGGGAGGCTGTCTGTTCCCTAGAAAGTCTGGGGAAAACACTGGAGACCAGGACCCTGAGGATGAAGCTGTGCCAGCTGGTGAGGGTCAGGGGAAGCTCCAGGCAAGCAGGAAGGAGAGAGGTACCCAATGGCAATCAGTGTAGCTGGGGCTGCCAGAGACATGAGAGCTCTGAGAGGCCAGTCCAGGGTGGGGTGGAGCCAGCAGAGTAACATTCCCTTCTTCCTGCAGCAAGCCCTTCACAGGGTACCCCCACCCAGTCAAGAATGTTCTCCAGTGGCCTCCATGGGGTAGGCAGAAAGAGCCCGGAGCCTGCCTCATTGCCCTTCCTCTTGACACCAACTGGCTGCCCACTAGCTATGGAGGCCTCGTGCTCCCTCATGTGGATCCAGGACTCATGGCATCTCAGGTTCTGTTTCTCAGGCAGCAGCCTTGTGAGGCAGGTACCAGCAGGAGCCCTGTGTTACAGATGCATAAGTAAAGATTCCACTGGAGTTAAGATTCTCCCTGGAGTTAGCAGCGGTTGAGGCTGTGGGTTTGATTCCAGACATCTGGCTTCAACAACCTTCCCTGATCCCTGCATCACACTCTGCTCCTGCAGGGACTGAGGCAATGTCGGGTTGGGTACCTCAATAGCTGTCACCAGGGAGCCCTACACCATAAACCTGAGAGCTCTGGCAGCTCGTACCCAGTCTGTTTCTCAGCCCTGGGATCCTCATTGGACACCTCTGGATTCTTCCTCTCCCATTGGCATTTGCCAGTCATGGAGAATCTCAAAATGGCTCAGTTCTGAGTGTTAGTGTGCCCCCAGCCCTGGCTGGGCCACGGAGCAAGCCCAGACCGCACATGTCCCTGCCCAGCCCCTAGTCCTGCCTCTCAGATGCCCTGGTTCTCTAGATAGAGGGGGCCTGTCAGAGACCTCCTAGGGCAGGCTGCGGGGGAGTGTTCAGGGTCTGCATCTGGAATAGGGGCAGTGAGGCTATTACTAGGGGTACAGTGGGCTGGGAGATGTCATCCATAGAAGGAACAGCCTGGGCCTTTGTTAACAGGTCTGATGGGCCACATGCTATGCATGCCCAATGGAGTGGCCTTGCCCCAGGCTCCTTAGCAGGGGCAGCTCGGACCTGTGGCTTTCCCTGACACCACAGGAGGGCGCCCTGGGCAGCCTCCACCTGTGAGACAAGCCCCTGGTCCTCAACAATCACATCTTCCCTATGCTGCTGCTAGAACCGCTTCCCAAATGAATACAGGCTCCCAGGAGTGGCCTCACAGCTCGGCTGGTTCCTGCAGCTCCCGTTTGCATCTGTATGGCCCTAGGCCAGCCACGCAACTTCTCTGAACTCTGAGTGCCTCCTCTGCCCAGTCAGCTAGCTGCAGAAAGCTTGAAAGACAAGTGCAGAATGTGGAGCCTTGCTCTGGCCCAGCCAACGCCATATCCCTCTCCTGTGACACCTGCTACAAGCCACAGAGATGAGGTTCCCTGCACACTCAGAACCTCCTCCAGAACCCAGAAATCACTTAACATCCCTGGGCGGCTGCTGAAAGAGCTGGGGTTGGCAGGGATACTGAGCATGTTTATATAGTGGTATAGTGGAGCGGCCAGCACACAGGTGATAGGAGACAAGGTGGAGTCCTGTGGCCAGGCCTCGGCTCCCCAGGCTGGCAGGGGTGACTTTGCACAAGGTCAGTTCTCAATGTCTATGTTTGTGAAAAGAGCCTTACTCCTGGGCACTGAGGGTGTGAGGACTGAACACATATAGAAAGAGCTTCTGCAAGGGCTCCATGTGGACCCTGAGTTGCTGCCCAGGCACTCGCTGAGCCCCAAGGGACCACAAGGCAAAGGGCTGCTAGATGAAAGGCAGGAGAGAAGGGTGCAGAGCTGGTCATCTGTCCATCAGGGTTTGCACACCAAGCCTCTCCTCTCCTCCTGCTGGCACTGCTACTGTACGACTGGCTCACTCCCTCGCCACTGCTCCAGTGTGGGCCAATCTTCCTAGGTTGGCGTCCAGGCTCATTAGAGCTCCTCTCCCTGCTATCAGCTGGCTGAGAGGGGACAGGTCTCCTGGGGTTTCCAGTGAGCCACATCCTGGGGTATCCAAGAACAACCCCTGTCCCTGCTAACTGTTGGCAGGGACCAGCTTTTGCCTTAGGAATCCTGGGGAAGGAACTTCAGGCAGTGGGTGGCAGCTTTCCTAGTCCCCTGTCAAGTCACCTGCATAGGTGTCAAGGATGCTCCCATATGAGAGGCAGGTGGATGGGGCACAAGTCATACCAAGGAAAGCAGGAGGTAGACAAAGGCAGCCCCTTCAAGGCACCTGCTAAGTGCAAGGTGGGGGAGAGGGGACAGCCATTTTCTGAGTCTCCAGTGGGAGTGCCACCCTCTATGGAAGCTGGTACATGCAGGAGTCTGAAATTGTGAAGCCCAAAATAAATCTTACGTAAATGCCAATTTCTCACGGGGCTTTGTTGTACAGTCTTCTTTTTTTTAGGTACCATATATAATGGGCTATTTGCATTTTTTCCAGAATGCCATCTCTACTTAAACTCTGTCTTAATTAAAGCTCATTGCGTGGTGGCAATTATACCTTAGACGTAAGTACATCTGGCAGAGGGTGGGCAGCTGGATGAGAAACAATCGCTCATTACGCTTCCTTCTAGGACTAGAGGGCTGGGCCCTAGAGGGGTCACTGAGAGCAAGGAGAATGCAGGGCTGGACACGGCAGAAGCCCATACTTCCTTCTCCCACCTCTAGCTACTGGCTAGGGATCCTCACAGGCAAAATGAATGTGCCCAGAGTCCTTGCCTGGCTGGGTCCTCTGCTGTCCTCTTGAGCCTAACCCATTCCCATCCCCACAGAGCACCTACCAGGAGCACAAGGATGATAGGGCCCTGGTAGATGTAGTCCACTAGATCACCAGGTTCCTTGCCAAACCAGCACCTGCAGAGATGACGTGGGGAAGCGTGATTAATGGCCAGTGGAGGGTCTGCTTCCCTAGCCAGGTGGTGGGAAGGCCCGGGGTCTCCTCTCTGTCCCCTTGTACTGTTGCAGGCTGCTGGACACTGGACTGAGCACACAGGAGGCACGGCAGTGAAGCGAGAGCTGCCCCCCACCCCCACCCTGGCTGGCCCAGTGTCCAATTCCCTCCATACCACCTGTTCCCACGCTACTGCGAGAGCTATGGCTCTGTGTGCTAGGCACTCAGCAGCAGCTGTGGAGGTGGAACCAGCCCTGCCAGAGCTTGATCTTTGTGCAGAGTCCCCCAGCATCCAACAAGAGGAACCACAGCCTGGTTGGCCTTGCTGCCTGGCAGGGGTTTGTTTATACTCCCCGGATGCTGATCAGGGGAGAAAGAGGAAGAGCTAGGCTAGGACCCAGGCTGACTTTGCCAGCAATTACTGGGTCTTCTTGGAAAAGTTCCTATGGAGGAACTCTTTTTGCAAGCTCAGAGGTCATTGAGAGCACACCTACCTCTGATAGGAGCTTCCTGGCTGCTGCCTCCCAGCACAGGGTTTTTGATTCTGCTTGAACACCCTGTCTGACAGGAAGTTCACTAGCTATCCTCTGTCTTGGGCAGTTTCCACCATTACATGTTCTTTCCAACACAGGCCTTCTGGGCCTATAACATGAACCCTACTGCTCCCTCCAGCCCCCATGACTCCTAGGAGGTTTGCACACAAACTGCTGGGCTCCAGGTCTCTCTTCTCGGTGCTGTTGGCACCTGACATCCTAGCTACTCTTTTTGGCTGGCCTGTGGTTATAGCAACTGGCACCCGAGCCATGGCTCAGGGTTATCACAGTGACTGGTACAAGGAGCACCCTGTGATGTGACACTGCACCCAGGAAGACACTGGGATGCATTAAAAAAACAAAACAAACAAACAAACAAAACCCTGTGTTGCAGCAAGTTAAGCCACAGCCTGCATTGCAAGCATCCCATGTTGGAGCCGGTTCAAGTCTCAACTCTTCTACTTCCAATCCAGCTCCCTGTTAATGTACCTGGGAAAGCACCTAGGCCCCCGCACCCAAATGGGAGACGTGGATGAAACTCCTGGCTTCTGGCTTCAGCCTGGGCCAACCCTAACCATTGCTGCCGTTTGGGAAGTGAACTAGTGGAAGGAAAATCTCCCCATGGTCTGTCTCACCTCCTCTCTCTGTAACTAAGCCTTTCACATAGATAGTGAGTAAATTAATGTAAAGCAAACAAAAAGAAGGTCTAGTAGGGTTCTGGCCCATGTGTATCAACACAGTCCCAAGTGTCACTATAAGGAATGCCCCAAGGCTCTCCAACGCTCCCAGTCCAGCTTGGAGGAAGAAGCTTACCCAGCTTCATGGGAGTGATTATGGGATACTGTAGGGAACCCCGAGTCATTACTGTACTCAAGAAAGAGTCACTACAGTAGCACTCTGGCAGTGGGAGAAGAGAATGAGAACCAACTGCCTCCTGGCCAGGACTCCAACACCTGCCCTAAGGCTCACCTGTCCATCCCCCCATCCATCTGCACCCCCGACAGGGGCCCTCCCACTTACTGCTCATTCTCGTAGTAGAGTTTGCCAATGGCCCAGGCTATGATGATGGGACAGGGAACACCTGGAAGAACAGACATGAGCTGCCATGGATAGACAGACAGGGGCCATCTTGCAGCCCACAAGGGGTTTGGATCCTGTCTGTACTCTTCCAAGTGGGAGGCACATGTGGCTCCCAGAGGTGCCCTGTCACAAGGTCACCAGCCCCTCCTCTCAGCTGCTGTCCCTAAGCAGGAGTGACAAGAGTTTCTGGGATGTTGAGACAGAGGAGGGAAGCCAGGCAGGCTCTCTTTGAAGGTAGAGACAGAGGTCTTTGGGCTGGTCATTGTAGGCTAGCTAGGACAGGGGGGCCCCAGTGGAGGTATGGAGGAGGGGTAACAGACATCCTCTGGCACTGCCAGCTGGAGGACGAGGCTGCATCCTCTGGACAGCTGAAGGGAGACAACCATGTCAGCTGCACTTCTTCACCCAGTCCCTCCCTGCCATGCCCCACTGCCCCCAAGACCCTCACACCATCCGATGAAGAGGAAGAGCCACTTGCGCAGGCGCTCGGTAGAGTAGGTCATGACAATAGCCGTATGCAGGTAGCAGCCCTCTGCGAACATCCAGAAGAAGTTGGTGACCACGAAGTAGTTGAAGATGGTGGTGATGCAGCGGCACCACACCTGCTCCCGGGGCAGGGGCTGTCAGTGGCTGCCAGGAGCCCCAGGCATGGCCACTCCCACCCCACACCCTGCAGGGGAGCGGTGTCCGAGAGGTCTTGCAGGAGTGCCTTCTCTTCCCCGGTTCACTATCACTCCTTCGTGTTCAGTGAAGGACCTGCTCTCCCCTGGGCTGCGGAGTTTTTAATTCTCCCCAGACTCTTTCTGATCTTTCTTTTTATTAAAACCAGTCTGGCTCCCTGCAGGCAGAACCTGTGATGCAGTGCTGCTGTGTTTTCATCTCATGTATTGGCTTTTGTAGACACCTCTCCTTGGCTGGCTCTGACAGCCACGGGCCATGTCGAGTTGCCAGCTGCCCACTCTGGTGCTTTCCCAGGGTCCGAGCTCTGTGTGGGGCTGATGGGGAAAGCTAAAGACCCCAGCTCTCTCCGCCTTCCTCCTCCTGGCCTTGCTCCTCTACATGGTAAGCAATGTCTGATTCATGCACATGAACTTGCTAACTGAACTTGCTTGGGACCAAAGCAGGCCTCCATGTGGGACAGTTAAGGATCAGAGACACTGGGTGTCTGCCTGGCTGCAGGCTGAACCAAAGGAAATGTAATGAGAGGTCTCTGTATTGGCACCACTCTAGTGTGTGGTTCTAAAGGGAGGTGGGCAAGCAGAGTTGTGGTTGACATGTGTGCAGGGTGGAGAGTGGACATGTGGGGAGGCCTTGCAGCAGCATGTGCCCTAGACAAGCCCCTAATCTCTCAGCCTCAGCTTTCGTGTCTGTGGAATGGGAGAGCACTCCCTGCAGGTTTCCAGGTGGGACTAAGACAAACCTTGACAGAGGCTAGCCCCAGCCTCCTCGTCCCTAAGGGGATTTTGGGGCTGGTCTGTGGACTTGGCAAGACACTGGTCTAATCTCAACCTGCTCAAGTCAGCCCTGCTCCCCAGCTCCCTGCCCTGGTGGGACAACACAGCTCTGTGGGGCACCTGCACAGCCCAGACCCCACCCCCAGGCCCAGCCCAAGGGTCCCTGAGCAGCAACCTCGTTGGTCTCGTGAACTTCATGATCAATGAGCTGCAGCAGGAACCACGTGACATTTCGCAGGATGAAGGTGGCGATGAGGTTCCAGTGGATCACATTCCTCAGACAGCGGATGCTCCTGTGGACGGCCCAGGCCAGAGCATCAGCCAGGCTCAGAGCTCTCATGGGGCTAGGGCGGGGTTATACATGGAGCCAACTTCCTGCCCACAGCCTCAGTGCCTCGGACCCATGGGAACAGGGGAGGGGCTGCTGAGGGGGCAGGGATGAACAGTGGGCAGGGTTGGAGGGGGCAGACTCACCTCAGGGCCAGGAACAGCAGGAAAGCTGCCACCAGGGCCGCCATGGAAATGCAGTGTCCCAAGTAGTTCACAACCAGGGCAATGCGATAGTGCAGGTCGTACTTTCTCTGCTAGACAGACAGAAAGGGCAGACAGACAGGTCCCTCTGGGCACCACCGCCATCCCTGTGTGTCTTTGTGTCACCACCATGCCTGACTCCCAGAACTCACTCCTGTGGGCCCTGGCTGACTCTTGTTAATAAAACATGGCTATGGAGGATCATATTTGGACATGGTCTTCTCAGATGTGCCAGAGATGTGGGTCTAGATGTTTTTTAAAAAAATTCTAGACTCTAAAATGCCACACCTGGTTTTATTTCAGCTCCAATGTCAGAGGTTGAGCAACTCCAGGAGAGGCGACTTGTCTCTCTGGGCCCAATTTTGGACACCTACTCAATGGGACCAAGCTGTCCTCCTTAATGAAGCCCTTCAAACTGAATAGCAGCCTAGCTTTTGTCATCCCTGTGCACTGGTGATGCTAAACAACCTCTGTAGTAAGACTGTCTTCCAAGCTGATTTCACTGCTGGAGGGGCAGAGCTGTGGTGAAGGCAGAGGGGGAGGGAGGGGGGAGGAAGCGCTGGGGAGCTGCTCTCCCACCTGCCTTGCATGCCCTTCTAGGGCTATCCCTGCAGAGTTCCTGGCTCATATTCCTAGAACCACTTTATCCAGGCAGGCAAATGTCTCTCTGGACAGGTTGGGGGGAATTTCTCCCCAGGGAGAATAAAGCTGAAGACCATGCCGGGGCAGGAACTTGGTGTGTAGAGGATGGGTGTGGCTTCAAAGGGGAGGAGGTTGACATTGCACAGCACAGACTCCAGCGCAAGATCCAGGACAGGGCTGGGCTCCACTGGGCCCCTCTGGGGGCCACCCTCCCTTCTGAGGGGAGTCACAGGAGTTGAGTGACAGTTAGGGAAACAGACCTCTTAGATGCTGGGAGCATGGCTTGCCCCGTCACTCCCTTATAGCGTCCCCTGGTGACACAGGTCCTTGGATGAGTGTTCCTGGAGACAAGAGTCCACTACATGCCCCTTCTGACCCTACTGCAGTGTCACCAAGCCCAGTGCAGGAGGTGCAGAAAGACTCCCATGAGTCCAGACGTATGTACCAGAGGACCAGGATGGGCCACTCACCTTGTCATCCAAAATGGGCTCACACTGCGAGTAGTTGATCCTTGAAGCCCATGTCCCATTCTCCAGGCATTCCCGGTAGGCGTTCCCTGCAAAAGATGCCAGTCACCAAGTCATGCCACGGTGCTCAGCAGGAACCATTCCTGGCTCCCTGGAGACTGCGGGGCCAATGGGAGAAGGCCCAGGGTCCTCAGCTCCGCTGGAGCTGGAAACACTGTGTATGTGGAAGCCAACAGATGCCACTTATGTTCCAACAGCCCTGAAGGCTTCTCTTACAGAGCAGCTGAAAGAGAAATGGCTCAAACTTGTTTAGGTATAATCTATGACTCACAATTTGCACATGCAGCTTCACTTTTGTTCCCTTGCTTAGGAACATGGCTGAAGATTCTCAATTATCAGCAGCAAATGATGCCCAGCCTTAACCACAATCATTATACATTATTGAGCCCATGTGTCTGCCCGCCTCCATCAAACCTTCCCTTTATCTGGCACCTGTTTGCCACGTGCCCAATCCTCTTCTGACACGCTCATCCATCCAACACTCCCAACAACCCTGTGAAGTAGGTATTGCGACACAGCATTATGACTGAGGCACCAGGAGGTGAAGCTGCTTGTCCAGGAGACACAGAAGAGAAGAGAATTCCAGCCCCTGCCCCCAGTCACCAGGTCTAGTTCCAGGTTTTGACCTTAACCTTTTGAGTAATGGGGGCTAGGAGTGAGGAAAATCTGGGGGCAAAGGGCCATGTGGCTGTTTCTGAGAGGCATTACATCTGGGGATTGCCATGTAGGGTCTCCCAGGGGCTTCAAACCCCAGTGTCTCCACAACAGCTAAAAGTAGAGATAAGAAAGGATCCTTTGTGGCATCAATGTCTGGTTTAGAGCAGAGCATCTCTTAGCAAAGGGAATGTGTAGAGAAATGCTCACACTTGCTGTTCTCTTGTTGCATGTCTGATGTCCAAGGTCTAGCTTCTAAAACACAGGCCTGGGGAGCCTGCCTCTGCATTGCTTCACGTCAGCATGCACCCCACTTTTGCCCCCGCCACCAACAGACTACATCTGATCCACTGTTTGAGGTGACCAGACCCAGGACTCCATCCTCCAGCTAAGGAGTAGCTGTTCCTGGTCTTTTAAAAGAGGCTTAGTCATTTATTTGAAAGTCACAGTTACAGAGAGGAAGAGAGATGGGGAAAGATCTTTCCCAGATGGCCACAACATGCAGCACTGAGCCTGGTTAAAACCAGGAGCCAGGAGCTTCATCTAGATCTCTCATGTGGATGGCAGGGGCCCAAACACTTCCATTTTCAACTGCTTTCCCAGAGACAATAGCAGAGAACTGGATCAGAAGTAGAACAGCCAGGACATGAACTGGCATCCACCCATATGGAATACCAGCATTGCAGGCAGTGCTTTAACTTCCTTTGTGGTCCCTCCCTGTTCCTCGAGGTTTTAACTTATGCTGTGTTTAGTGTGTTTTGTGTGCATGATAAAGCTAATGAAAGCAATGAGCTCATAGAGCACAGCCATGAGCTGGAGGGGCCACCAAGGTTGGGGCAGTGAGTTCTGAAACCCTGGAGTTAAGAGCCACTTCTGCTGGGCAGACCAAGAGCTAACAGCAATGACCTGATCAGCCACACTTGCCAAGGACAGACATGACAGGGAAAATTTTATTCACTTAATTGTTTTTTAATTTATTGCCCTGAGCTCATAAGTTTTTCAGACCCAGTGTTGCTCCTGGCCAGTCTCTGCCTCCAAGGTTTGTGTGGCTGGGCCCCTGTGGAGTCAGTTGCAGGAACCCCAAAAAGGAAAGACTTGCCCCTGGTGTCCAGTTCCCGGGATGGGGGAGGCTTGGAAGACCTGCTTCTGGGCATTTACACACCTGACAGGGAAGGTTGAAGTTCCTGAACTGAAGGAATGAAGCTATTTGGGGGAAGGCAGGTCTTTCTATGTGAAATGAGCCATCCCTTCCTGTTGGGGCCTCTAGGTGAAACCTCAGTCCTGGCTGTGGCTCCAAAGGCAGATGAATCTACCTGCTGGGGATGTGTTTTTGTTTGGCTAGGCTTGTTGCTCCAGAAAGGCCTCCCTGATTGCTCTCAGGCCCCAGTTCTTTCTCCCCCCTTCCTCCTCCTTTCCCCTGATCCTGGAAGCACCCCTGGCCTGCTGAGCCCTACACTTCAGCCCTGGGCCCATGGCCAGCACTCAGTTGTTCCGTTCTCCGTGATGAGCACCAGAGCTCCTTGGGGCGGGGCCTCAGGACGCGCATTGCCTGAGTGTGATATCTGACCATGGGAGGATCGCAGATGGGAGAGAGGTCAGGGCAGACACTGCTGATCGACGGTCTTTCCTCTCCCACACAGCAATGCCCTTAGTCCCTCCAGTTCTACCTCTCCCTCTGCCCTTTGCAGACCCCACCTGCTGCCCATCCTTGTACCCTCTCTCAAGTTCTCCTGTGTAGACACCCCTTTGGCTTCCTTGCTTTTTTGATTCTTACACCATGCCAATCCCTGCCATCTGTACATGGCCCTTTCCTGCCCTTAAAAACAGGTTCAGGGCCCGGCATCATGGCCTAGCAGCTAAAGTCCTCATCTTAAACACACCTGGATCCTATATCAGTGCTGGTTCTAATCCCAGCAGCTCCATTTCCCATCCAGCTCCCTGCTTGTGGCCTGGGAAAGCAGTCGAGGACGGTCCAAAGCCTTGGGACCCTGCACCCGTGTGGGAGACCAGAAAGAGGACCTGGACTCCTGGCTTCGGATTGGTGCAGCACTGGCCATTGTGGTCACTTGGGGGTTGAATCATCGGATGGAATATATTTCTGTCTCTCCTCCTCTCTCTATATATCTGACTTTGCAACAAAAAAATAAATAAGTCTTTAAAAAAAAAAAGGCAAAACAGGTTCAGCTCTCCTGGCTTGACCTCGAGGGCCTTGTCATCCAAGCCTCTTCCCTGCTGCTCTGCATGATATTTGGCTTTTGCACGAACCCAGCTCTGTGCTGAATTCTCCCTTAAGACTTCCTCTACACTCTCACCCTAGGCTTATAGAAAAACTCCTACATATTAGCTAAACCCTAGCTCAAATGCCTCCTCCTCCATGGAGCCTTCCCAATACCCTGGATCTCATGCAATTCTTTCTTATTCGTCCCTTTAGGTTACCACCTCTGATGCCCTTGAACCCCTGTAGCACAATCGGGCTGCAGGCATGTGAAATTGCTCTCCATCACAGTGGGGGTGGGTTTTGTCTATTCTGAAACCTTCTATTCACTTGCTGGATAGATTCTGGACATGAGCACTCCACCAACTTCACAGTCCATGACTGCTCCCCAACCCGCTGTTCCAGCAACAAGCAGTTATTTTAGACCATTTTCTGTAATTCACGCTGGATGTCGTCTCTTTGAGTCTTAGCCTTTACTTTCTCTGCTGCAAGATTTGAGCTCCCTGGGGACAGACAAGAAAGCCAGACTGGAGTCCCCCTGAGGCAGGGAGCCATTGAAGCTGTGAGTTGAACCAAATCGGCTGAGCTCTGCTGGACTTTGGAAGGTAGGGTCTGACCTGAGGGATGTGGAGGTAGGAGGGGATTGCCCCTTTCTGACTGCAGACACTGGGGACCTGCCAACTAGGAGACAGATGTGCCCTATGCTTGGAGGGAGCTGTCCACTGCAGCTAATGAGAGCACTGAGCCCTCAGACACAGCCTCACACAGGAGAGAGTGAGGCAGGAAGAACATCCCTGCCTCGCTGGGGACCACAGAGGGATGGACACGGACAACACGATGCAGGCAGCGAGGCCAGAATCGTGGAATCACGGACCTGGATGCAGTGAGGTGGGTACCTGTTACCACAGCAACACAGGGGCCTCTGCCAAGAAGAATCAATGTCGATGGCGTGCAGTGTGGCCTGGCAGGGGCATCAGGGTCTGTGTGATGCAGGCAGGGTCTTTTTTTTTTTTTTGCAGGGTTCTGTGGTTTTGGAAGCCTGATCTCTATACCCAAGGTGGCCCTGGCTGAATAAAAGACTCCAGGGCAGTGGACTTTTCCTGTCTTCAGATACTGATACCTTAGTACCAGTTTCTGGCTTGTGAAGTTATGAGGGGTGGTCCAGATGCCTGGCTGAGAGCTGAAACTGCAGCCTAGCTGTTGTTTTGTCTCCAAATGGATAGCTGATCCTGGCTAAGCCCCTTCCCTCTTGAGCTTTGGGCTTCTGCTTTGCTTCTCAGAAAAAAAAAGTGAAATGATACTACTCAGTGAAGCCGCTGACATCTGCTAGGAATCAACAGACAATGAGTGAGACTTCCCAACCTGCTAAGCACCAGCAGCACCTCCAAGTCATTATGACAACCCCAAATATCCTGCATCACTTTCAAATGCTGCCTACACAGACTCTTTTATCTCTGTCCCTCAGATCAGTGAGGCATGCACTATGGGTGAACAGGATCTGTGGTGGGAGTGGAGGAGATTACGAAGAAAGAGTGCAGGACACAGGTTAGCCACAGGATGGAAAGGAACGGGGCTGTGATGGAGGTGCAGCAGCATGGCCGTTGGCTCTAGGGACAGAAAGCAACAAGAAGGGAGGAAGGAAAGGTAAAGACAGGTGGGGAGGACTAGAAGCCCTGTTGGCTGAAGGGATGTCACACACAGGCCCAGACGTTCAGCACCACGGACAGCACAATGCCTCGGATACCTGCCCTTTGCACTCTCTCCAAGGGGCAGACCTTGGAGAGCTCCTGGGAGCCAGCCCTTCCACCCAGCATTCAGAGCCTTGTCCAGGACACAGCCCAAAGAAGCCAAGACATTTCCATCCCAAGATCCTCCAGGTGCTCTGTGATGGCTCGAGTTCCTGGGGACTTCCTGCAGCCAGCCAGAGAGCCCAACAGCAGGGCTTGGGTGACCTCTTTCATCACAGAGCTGCATACACAGGGTCCGGGGATGTACCAAGGATGATGTTGCCTGTGTTACTGGGGAACTTAAAGAGGGTGGGTCTTGGAGTGGGCCCAGAGGAAAGTCCATCATCCTTGAAAGCCCAGACTCCATCAAACTTCATGGGAAACACACAATAGCCACACATGCAGGCAGGAGACATCTAGGTGTCACACACTC